TGTCAACGTAAAATTTAATCAGAAATATTTCAGAAAAATAGCCGAAAACGTACCCTTTTCACAAGCACTTTCGGTACTTTTGTAGACCTAATCCGCGTTTCATCCACCTTTCTCTCCGTTTTCGGATTAATTTTCGGATTTTTTGCTGGCTGGGCTGTTCTCGTAACAAGCGCATCAGCTTCGCGCACTTTTATATATTACTTATTCTTTGAAACTTCACAATCACACTGTCAAAGAGCGAATCAGCACGATTTTAGAGGCAGTCTTGTCGTGTTAGTGAGGTACCCATTCGCAATGGGTAAGGCCATCTCAAGTGGGTCACAAATTTACCGACGTTAGAATTTCCAGATGATTTTTCGCTCAAATGAAGTCCTACTGATCTGAAATACACTCTGTAAATTTCACTGAAAACTTTTAAAATTTATAATTTTTATGAGCATTTGAATTTTCTTACAATGGTACGGAATTTATTTATTTTCTCCGAAAATACAAATTGGAATGCGATGTTTTTTTAAACATAGGGAGAGGACATACAACCCTACTAAAATTTATTTTTTTCGTCTTGAAAGTTTTAAATTTGATGGAAATTTTTTATTTTTTTATTTTACAAATGAAAATTTAATCCGCCTGCCAGAAGAATTATAATACCAGCATATCACGCCGGAAGTATTCAAGCTTTCACTCCGAAAAAAACATGTGAACGGATAACAGTAGTTTATTCACAATCATAATTTTAGTACGAGCTTACACACTCCGTATTCATACGTACAGGTGTATATATGTATATGCACCTTGCTGTTAGTTAAGTAACTGTAAATAATTGTAAACTCAACATTAACGGTTGATTGTTCATTTTTTATTTTCAACATGTTCATAAAATACATTTATCTTATTTCATTTATGACCAATGACAATTTACATAAATTTTGCTTTAGCTTTTGGAATAAAACAATAGTTGTGTTTGTTTACAAATTGTCCAGTAACTTGCCAGCAACTCTCCAGTAACTTTATTTTTAAGAATTCGCTCTCATAGAAAAAATGTGCAAAAAAGTACGCGGACGCTATTCCAGTAATAATTTGCAAGTTTAATGAACAGCTGATAAATTGGTTGTTTATTCACAGCAAATACCTAATAAAACAATGTATTTTATATTTAAATAGGTTTATTTTGTGAAATTCAACAATAAAAACCCACAAACAGTTTCCTTATTAGTTTAAATTTCATCAAGCAACATGCGATCAGCTGTTTTTCGTACTCACAAATTCTTACAAGTAAAAATTTATCCAGTAAAATCCAGTAAAAACTTGCAACTTCAACTGTCACTTTTCGCTCTCTCAATTTTCCCTACTTTGCAAGTTTTTGCGTACGAAAACGCAAAAACATGAAAATTCGTAAAAACTTTTACTGGTTTTTACTGGAAATGAGTAAACAAACGCAACTAATGATATCGTCGCGTGTTCTTCAAAGTTTTCGCTAGAAAATAACGGTTCTTTAATGTATTTGAATGAGCTTCATTTGACGACATGTGTAATTTTCTGAAAAATCCAGACACACAACATATTGATAATGATCCAATTGGTTTTTTATGTCAGTAAGAAATTGAGCTTGTGATTTTGCAAGAAAATCATGTTCCATCACAACCAGTAGATCTTTTGATAAATCGTGAATAAGTTCGTTCGTTGTTTCGTCTTTTACTTGTAGAGACCATCTGTAAGTAAGTAAATTAGAATAAATGAGAAGTTTTTTCGGCAAATTTTGAAGAAAGTATACGATTTTACTTAAACAATGATTATACTTATTCATTGGTCGTAATTAACTGAAGTAATATTTTTATCTACAATAATGGATTTCAGGTTTGCTAAGATTTCTTTTGTTCCAGGACAATTCGGACACTTCACTTCTGGATTTGGATAATTTATTGGAGATTCTCCGTTTTTTATGAAAGATATGTGATAGAATGCGAGTCACTGCACGTGTCAGTAAAAATTAATAGAAATGAAAAACAACATTGCACCGTTAATGCCCATTAAAATACAACTTTTGCATTGGCCATGGCGTCGCTTCGACAGCGACTATGAATACATACATATGTATGTTCATTTATATGAAGAGCCTGCATAACCAAAGCGTTCATAGTCAGCTATTGCATATAATTAAAATTTGTGTGTAATATTTTCAAATTAATGTTGATGTTTAAATTTAATGTTGACTTTACAACTATTTACAGTTACTTAGGGCCGTTTTCTAATGTAAGCAGTAAAGTTGCCGTTACTAACAGGGCAGATAAATTGTTCCTCACTTTAAAGTGTTTTCGTTGTCTTATCTTACCTGTAAAAATAAATTTGTTATTCCGTAGAGTGAAACTTCACTACATTTCCGAGAGTGAAACTTCACTACATTCGTCATAAAATTTCAAAGGTTGGCAATGCAACATAAGCAAATATAGAGCAAGAGCAACTGCTAGCAAAAACCAAAACCTTGGTTGAAATATCTAATATATCTGACTCATGAACCAAAACCAAACCAAAATTTAAAGTTGGGTACAAATTTTAAAGGTTGCATCGGGTGAGCAACAGTTTATCGATTCGAGAAATTAATGCGCTGATGAGAAAACGAAAACTCGTATATCGAGACGATAAAGTGGCCGGTAAACTAAAGGTTGGATGAGAAAACGGCCCTTAGGGATACAAATTACTTAACTAAGAGTAAGGTACCCAACATACATACATATATACACCTGTACGTATGAACACGGAGTGTGTAAGCTCGCACTAAAGTTATGATTGTGAATAAACTCTTGTTATCAGTTCACATAATTTTTTCGGAGTGAATGCTTGAATACCGGCGCGATATGCTGGTATTATAATTCTTCTGGCAGGCGGAGAAATTGTTTAAATTTTCATTTGTAAAATAAAACAATAAAAAATTTCCATCAAATTTAAAATTTTCAAGACGAAAAAAATAAATTTTAGTAGGGTTGTATGTCCTCTCCCTATGTTTAAAAAATCACCGCATTCCAATCTTGTATTTGCGGAGAAAAAAAATAAATTCCGTGCCATTGTAAGATGCTCATAAAAAATACAAATTTTAAAATTTTTTCAATGAAATTTACGGTGTATTCCAGATCAGTAGGACTTCATTTGAGCGAAAAATCATCTGGAAATTCGAACGTCGGTAAATTTGTGACCCACTTGAGATGGCCTTACCCAATGCAAATCGAAGAAGAACGAAGTACTTCAGACTTACGCCACTAGCGACGAAATTTCTAAAGCTATCGACAAATTTGTATAGAACAATGGTTTGAAATGGAGCAAGTGTGTGGATATTTGCGGTGGTTGGAAAAACGAAAGGAGCGATGTATATGGTGAAGCAAGAGACAGAAAACGCCACGAGAAGTCACTGTATGGACCCTCGGTATTCCCTGGCGACTAGGAAGATGTCGCCACTAGATTCAAAACCCGTATTGGATGGCGCTGCGAAGATAACAGAGGCCTGCGAAATTAAAATACATCTCTGGTTTTTTCTGGCACGTCGATATTTTTTTATTGGTGATATGTATATTTTAGAATTTGTAGCAATTTGCATGCAAACCCCATAAATAAACAAAGTAATCAGAAAAAGATATGTAACTTCGAAGTTAGCGCTAAGAAAATTGATAACAGCCGGTTTCACTAGCAATTTCCATATAGAATTAAAAAAATTAAAATCATTTATCACTTAAATTGCTTTCGTGAAATTGGCTGGCTGTAAAAATTATTTTCTTAGTGTTCAGCTGAGGAAGAGCGGGAGACCAGAGTTGTGGTCGAGTTAGAGTAGTAGAGGAGGTAGGGATTACCTTTGCGAGTGGTTATGTATCGAGCTCAATAAGCCCGTATGGTGTATAGGTGCGCATCAAGCCAACCACGCACTCCATATGCCTGCTATGCGAGAGAGAGAGAGTGAGATATGCGGGCAGGCTGATGAAGCGGTAGCGCAAGATGTGACCCTTTTACCATGTATTAATTGGGCGACTCCATTGGAGGAGTCATGCTCTAGCTGACGTAGGCTGCTGTGCAATGAGCTGGGATTTATTCAGGGATGCATTCATGCAGAGCCCCAGTGTGGTTTGTAAGCCGTAGCTTACTACCATACCAAAAATTACTCCGGGAGTGGAGTGGGAGCGATGCTTAAAGCACCATGTGATAGCCAAGCTGGTTGAGCGTTGACCCTGGCTGGAAATTTTTAGCGACTTATCACTTCACTAACTCCAGCGAAGAGATATTTGAGAATTGCATAAAAAAATGCGTACCCAATTAAGATCGAGCGAATTACTTTTAAACACAGGTGCGTGTGTTAGTTCGCAGCAATTTGTTTATACGGGAAATGCAATATAAATGCGTGTGGGTGTTCGCTGTTTATTGTTTATGCGGGAAATGCATAAGTCGCTTAAACACTTAGCGTTAACTTGGAAGGTTTAGAAAAAACAATTGCCGAATATTTTCCCAACATTGGCTCTGAGGATGGCTTCAGCTGGATAACAAACCCGTTTTCATGTGGCCCGAAAAGTAAACCTACTGACATGACCAATTAAGCTTTTGAAAACCTTCTGGACATCAGTGAAGACAGCACTTTGAATATTAAATACTACACAGGGAGCCAAGACAGTTCTGGATGCAAGTGTATGCAGAAAACACTGCTGTTGGCAAGATTGCATTAAAAATACTAGTGACTTTTAGGCCCTTATTATGAGTTGCATTCGATTTTTGATCGTCGCTGGTTATCGAAGATCGAACATCGAAGGTGAAATTATGAGCTATGCAACCATGTCGAAATTTTCGTTGAGTATCGAATTTTCTGTCGAACAGAATTTTGCTTTCGATGGTGTAGCGAAGTGTTAGAAAATTTTAAAAAATGTATGATTTTGTATTTGTTTTTTTACTTTATGGCGGCTAGACACTAATTTTAAACAATTTTTATTAATTTCATGCAGTTCTAACGTCGTGAATATTAAACACAAGCTCGAAAGGCTTGTTTTACTTGTGAAAGAAAATCCCAATACTCAGTTGGCACGATCTCTGAGAAAAAAAGCGTAAGCTGCTTTAAGCTTTGTAAATCCCGTCGTAGTTACTACAAAAATTTTATTGCAAGAGATTTGGAAATCAAAAACAGATTGGGATGAAAAGCCGTCACAGGAAATAATGAACACTTGGGTGAAAATAAAAGGCAAGCTTCCATTGTTAAATAAAATAAGAACACCCAGGCGAATTCTGTGTAATGAACCGGCAAATATTGAGCTACACGGATTTTGCGACGTTTCAATGAAAGCATATGGAGCAGTAGTTTATGCAAGATCCGAAAATAAAACAGGTGAAAATTATATAAATATACTTGCAGCTAAATCACGAGTCGCGCCAATAAAGATAATAACACTACCACGGCTGGAATTATGTGCAGCCGTACTCTTAGTAGAATTAACACAAAAATTTTTCGTAAAATTTAAATTTAAATGCACTATTTATTTTTATACAGATTCCACAATACTATTTAATTGGTTAGAGCTTGATAATGGACGGCATTTGAGGCATATCTGTTCAAAGGACAATCCGGCCGACATAATTTCTAGGGGAGTATCACCTAGTGAGCTCATCAACAACAACTTGTAGCTTAGACAACCGGCAATGCCGAATACATCTATCTATAAAATGCAACAAAAGGTAAACTTTGATGATTCAAATATTCCAGAGATAAAAAAATCTAAGATAGTTATGGTTTTAGCTGAAGAACACACAATTTTGATGAAGATAAACCATAAAAATAGTTTTGAATTTCTTCATATTCAAACTCATAAATATCATCAGAAAAAGGCCATTAATGAACACAATTTTCTATAAACAACAAGCATTAAATTATATAGTAGTTGAAATACAAAAAAAATTAAAACGAATTCTCACTAATAGACAGCTTCCAAAAAGTTCCAAACTAGTCACCTTAGCTCCAATTGTGAATAACAATAACATTATAAGAGTAGGAGGTAGGATTCGAAGTAGTAAACTTTCAGAGGATGCAAAACATCCTATACTTCTTCCTTATGAAGATGAAATTGTTCGATTACTAATGAAACATATACACCTTAAGCATCTACACATTGGACCACAGGGGTTACTGGCAATAACTAGGCAAAAGTTTTGGATTTTAAGAGGTAGACAACTAGCAAGCAAAATTGTAAATAAATGTTCAAGGCCAGCCCTCGGCCCCTACACCAGTTAATGGGAAATTTACCACAAGACAGACTAACGAGAACTCGCCTATTTTATAATGTAGGATTGGACTTTCTAGGTCCAATATGGATACATCACAAAATACGCGGAAAAAAAGGCCGATAAAGCCTATGTTTGTGTATTCCTATGTTTTTCTACGAAGGGAATACACTTCAAAGTCGTATCAGATCTAACTTCAGCGGCATTTATAGGTGTGTTCAAAATATTTATTTCTTTACGAAGTTGTCCAAACAAAATATACTTAGATAATGAGACCAATAGCGTTCGTGAAGTTTACAAATTATTTCAAAAAGATACTAGCAGAATTATCCAAATTTTGCAATCAAAGAGAAATAACCTGGATAAATATACCAGCAAGATCCCCACATGTGGGAGGGCTATGGGAAGCGCCTGTCAAATCAGTCAAAAAGTATTTTATCCATGTAGTTGAAGGAGTAATGACTTTTGAAGAAATGTCCACACTCATGTCACAAATTGAAGCTGTCCTAAATTCGATACCAATTATTCCATTAAAAACAAAAACTTTGTACTTACATTATTAAGCTTACTTATAGTTTTACCATGCTCAAAATATTTAGAAGTAGAAAATTTTAAAAATAGTCACGGGCCAATTGAAACACGAATGATTCATTGAAGCAGCCATCAAACTCAGCATAGCAATGGATTCCTTTGAAATGCTTCAAAGAGACATTGTGAGCGTCCTGTGGAATTCTAGAGGGAACTTCATGGAAAGACTCTTGCCTATGAAGAAGTTCGAACACCAAATACAATTAATTTCAGACAACCTCGACCAGGGGTTGCAGCTTCCAGATATTGATCCTTTTGAACTTGGCCATATAGCCACCACAGCAGCCAAAGTTACTAAAGATTTTATATTGTTTAATATAAAAATTCCCTTAGTCACCAAATTGGAATTCCCAATGTACACAATATACCCATACTCCACAACACATGACGGGTATTTCGTGAGCATTAAAGAAACAAATCGTCACATTATTTTCAATGAAAATAAAACGATGTTTTATAGTATGAACGACGAAATGTTTTACAAATGTCAACGTATGGTAAGAATGACAATATTTTCATTTTCATTTCATTTATTAATAAAATCATTAGCACAATAAGATCAAAAGAAAGATCTTTTATAGCGTAACAAAAAATTCATAACAGTACATACATATAACTAAACAAACTAAATTACTTAAGACTAATTAAAAGTAACATAATATAATTAACAGAGTAGTATTTTTAAGTGAGTTCTACAATTCCAGGAAATATACTTAAAATAAGACTTAATTAAACAAGTACATAGAGAGCACATCACAGGGACTGAAGTGAAGCTAACGGAAATACGCATACAGAACATTTTTAGAGTTGCTTTTGTTTAAACTACTGCGAATATGGGATGTAATAGAGTTCCAGATGCGGATAGCATTGACAAAGAATAGCCGTGCAGAGCTGAGATAATTGTAGGTAGGAACAGTCAAGTCCTTTAGTCGAGTGGATTTGGGGAACGTTAATTTTTCATATAGATATTTGGGTGCCTTATCTGTCATGAAACGAAAAAGGAATATTTAATTTCTAGCCTTAAGATATTCAGAAATATCGCAGCCAAGTAGGCGCGTTCTCCAAGCGGAAATATGCTCATATTTTGCTAGCCCAAACACATAGCGCGTGATCTGGTTAAATACTACATCTATTTTGTGAGCTGATTGGGAATCTAACCTGCTGTAGACTACCTCAGAATAACAGATAATTGGCATTATAAGTTGGATTGCGTGTTTACGTCTGATTTCTATCGGTGTGAATGGAGCAGACATTCGTAAATTCCTTGAAGTATTATAGACTTTGCCTACAGTTGAATCCACATGGTCAATGCAGGTAAGGCCAGTGTTGATAATAAACCCAAGGTTAGTTACTTTTGACACAAATTTAATTGGTTTGCCACCAATGTGTAACGATGGAATAGTTGCTAGGTTAAGACGTTTCTTACAAATAGGTAAAACAAAACACTTGTCACAATAAAGACGAAGACCATTTAACTGTGCCCAGGACCTTATAGACATCAGTTCTCTGTTGAAGCTTGCGCACAAATTAGACACAAGAGGACCTGACATATAGAGCTGGACATCGTCCGCATAGGCATGCATATTGGTGTGCATAGAAGTCCGAAATATATCATTAACGAACAAACTAAATAGTAGTGGTCCTAAGATTGACCCTTGTGGGACACCCGTGAACAAAGGCCTTTGTTCAGATATTTGAGATCCAACCTTGACACGCTGAGACCTCTCTTTCAAATAGCTACGCATCAGTTTTACTGCTGACTCTCCAAACCCAAAGTAGTTTTTTAATTTAAAGCACAGTAGTTCATGACTAACTGAATCAAAGGCTTTAGAGAAGTCCAGCAAGCATAGTAGTAACTCTAGTGGTTCTTGTCGAACAGTATTCTAATGTTATTAAGTATCTTTACCATTGCAGTAGAGCAGCTGTGATGGGGTCTGAATCCGGATTGAAATGGGGATATAAGGTTGAATTTACCGATGTGGGAAGAGGTTTGTTCAGATAACAAAGATTCGAAAACTTTAGACAAGGCTGGTAGTATGCTGATGGGTCGGAAATCACTAGGGCTGGATGCGGATTTATTTTTGGCTACAGGAAGCACAGTAGCAATCTTCCGAGCATCGGGAAAACAGGACGTGGTGAGACTATGGTTCATTATGTGTGTCAGGGTTGGCAAAATAATCGGTAAAATTACCTTCACAAATCTAATCGGAATGCCATCCTCCCCGATTGCGTTGGACCTGATCTTAAAAACAGATTTCACCACATCAATCTCGCTCACAGCAATGAACTCAAACTTTTCGCCAGCAAAAGAGACTGGACAGGAGGCTACAGAATTGGTCGTAAGGGGACAAGATGAAGGCGGAGAAGCAAAGGCAACGCTAAGCGTTTCAGGACTCAACGAGCATTCTGATTTCTCACTGGCATGGACGCGGAGTGTTCTCAGATTTCGCCACAATACATTATTAGGCAGTGAGGGATCCAGCTTATTCATAAAGAATTTTTTCTTTTCACGTCTTATAACCGAGGTAGCTTCATTCCTTATTGTTTTGAAAGCACTCCAGCTGTCATCTGTCTGGTTCCTTTTCCATATGTTATAATATTTATTGCGTTTTTTAATCGCTGATCGGACCGCACCATTAAACCAACGGCAGGAAGAAGACCTGTCGCAGGTTCGGGTAGGGACATGAGTGAGGAGCGAATTTAATATATTTTCGTTCAGGAAACGGAGCTTCTCATTGACCGTGCTGAGACCCCAGCAATCGGACCAATTGATCTGCAAGAGGCCACTGAAAAGGTTGTTGACATCTAAGGAACGGTAGTCAAAGAAGTTGGTATTGTCGTCATAGTTATCAAGCTTAACGTCAAAAGAACAAAATATCAAGTCATGATCAGAAATAAAAGATATTTGGTCAAATTTCAAAACAATACAAGGATCAGATACAGCAAAGTAATCTAATAAGCTGGGACAGCAATTGCTACCATATCTTGTGGGCACCGACAAATTAACCATAGACAACCCAACACAGGAGATGCCATCTATTAAACGAGCACTGGTAGAATCAGGACATAACAGGTTCACATTAAAATCACCACAAAGAATTATATGGTCATAATCTACAGAAACAGTGGACAGAAAATTAAAAAAGTCACATAGGCTGAAATACTTATAGGGATTATACACACAAGACAATAGGATTTTGGACGAGGGGCTAGACATTTCGACAGACAGGTACTCCACGCAGCTTCTTTCTGCGAATCCTGTTTGGTTTTTAGGTGCTTTTTGCAGTAAATAGCAACTCCACCACCTTTTCTGTCTACCCTATCAGATCGAAACAACTTATAATCATTAATATCATAATGGACACTGCTTACATTGTACCTGAACCACGTCTCAGATACACATATAACATCGACTGGAGACAATTCAAAAGTGTTCCTTACTATATCCATTTTCTCAGAATGAACAATGTTCAAACCCGTTTGTTGACCGCACATAATGTTCACCATTGCACGACTACAATTGTCAATGTTAGCCGTTTTGCTGCTGGGTACAACCATGACATTTCACGCGTATAAACATGCCCGCAAGTGCATCCGATTTTTAGCATAGGACATACGTAAGCTTGTGAGACTACATTACTAACGGGAAAAAACAGGTGGTATGCCTTATTATGAAATCAATATTATACCAATGCAAGAATTTTGGGTACAGCATGGATAAACAAAGTATCATTAGATTTGATACAGATTTCGTTTTAAATACGGAAAGCGTAAAGCTCTGGGCATGCGAATTAAAGAGTTCTCTGATTGAATTTGAAATACCAGGAATTAACCTCACGACACATCTTCACACACAGCACATTCAATTAAAAGCATCCATCCAATCATTTAAAATACCTGACATTCCGAGACCAACAACCATTTGGGGGTTTCCATTGGACTTAGAAAGGCATCACATGGTACTCTATGGGATAAATACTACGAATCTGATTCTGCTAATTGCTGGTGGAGTTATCATCGTTATAGTCCTACGACGCATCTGTAATGCAGCAAGGCACGTATACCCGGTAGGAGGATACATCTTTAGAAATTAATTATTAATACTAGTAAATTAAAATTACATTAAAAATTTAAAATATAGTAAGATAAAAATAATAAAAATAATAGCTTGTATAAAAGAAACAATTACGAGTTCGACCCGCCAAGTTTCCAAAGCAAATTTAATTAAAGCCCAAGATGTATAAACTCTTGAATTATTTTGAAACGTAAACATTTCAACGCGCGCAATATGTTCAGATTTCTGAACAGTTCTTAACGGCTGCAATTGTAGATAAAGTATTTTTCCAAACTGTACATAAACAGATGTCACTTGACAAATATTTATGTATCTTATCGCCAACAAATACGAATGTATTCTTTAGCATAGATATGTATTTATCAATTACCCATTTCTTTCATCACTTGAAATTAATGTTCATCTCGGATATATTTAGTAGATTGGTTTATTTATTGCATGCAATATAAATATTTCACTGTCATTTGTAAACTATCACAAGTCATCCTAAACTACCATAAGATAAGAACACATGGCCGTCGCTACGACTTTGAAGGTTACCTTATACAGGGTGTCCCAGAAGTAATCTACCAAACTTGAGGAGAAGGCAGGTGGGGTGGTGAGCTCTGTGATAAACAAAAAATTTCAGGTAAAAGTGTCATTTAAGTTGCTCTTGTTACCGACCAATGACATGCTAAATAGTACAAAGGTACATTATTACTTGCTCCTGACATTATTTTATGTTACTTACCGGAAATAATGAAAGTGGATTTTGTGGAATTGGACCCCTCGAACATTGTGTTATTAATACTATGACAGAGAACACGCAGTATACGTCGCATGAATATGCGGATATTCACCTAATTTACGGTGAAGCTTGCTGTAATGCTAGAGATGCTCAGAGACTTTATGCAGAGCGATACCCCAAT